CCATGGGCTTCCCATCCATACTCCAGACTTTTACTTCACTCTCGGGAAGATGAGATTACAGAAACCAGAATATCATCCCTAATTGCATTATTTGCCAACTAAATCCTTTTTTTCCCTTTGTTTAGTATGACAACAAGAGGGGAAAAAAAACGATTAGCATCTACATTTGGAAAAACCTGCATTTGATTACAATGATCAGCCTTCTAGGCCAAGCAGATGTAAAAGAGAAAGGGGGGGGGGGGGAAAAAAAGATAATGAGAGACAAGTTATAAGAAAAAGTAAAGACGGTTGTTTGGGAACAAAGGATTTTCTCTATTCGTGATTACATTAGACTAGACTCTCTTTATTTTTTGCAGATAAGCGTTTGAGAAACTCGTAGGTAGTAATCATAGTTGTTGCAGACATGGACATAGAAGCCCATCTTGGCCCCAAACCTCTGTAACAAGCCGTCCAACCACCTTCCTTCACCAAATTCCTTACTGTCTGTCCAATTGTTGGTCCGCGCCGCCCATTCTTTTCTCCATCCAAAACCTGCAATCTTGTCTTTATTGTATCAAGTGGCATTGTAATTAAAGCCGAGACACCACCTGCCATGGCTGCACTGATTCCTTGAACAGCCATTACTGTTTTTGAATCTGGTCTAATGATGTTACTCCCATTCTCATTCCCTTCTTCGTCTTTCTTGCAGAAGTAACATCCAACACCACCCCAAACAAGTCTTTGTGCAACAGAGTAAGATCCCCACCAAACTGCATTTGATGGAGCATATGTCAAAATTGATATTCCAAAACCTCTATACAGTCCTCTTGCTCCATCACTGCTGAGTATCTTTCTAAATGCATCAATACCGTTTACATATTTACACGTCGATGCATTGCCAACTGAATTCCTACCTCCTTGAACCATCAGTCTTTGGCTTACCACATCAACTGGGGTCCAAACAAGCTGTGCGGCCATGGCGGCGCTCAACCCAGCAACTGCATTTGCAATTGTAGCTGCCGTGGCTTCCGGGAACCCTAGCCTAACCGTAGCACTCCCCACATTACTCTTAGTGACCTCCAACGCCGTCATGTACAGCGCTCGAGCTGGGATCGTCCCCATCAAGGAAGTACCGAACCCTCTATACAAAGCTCTAAATCCTTCATGTTTCACGATCGAAATTGCTGTCCTAAGGCAAGAAAGCTGAGATTGAGCTACTTGTTGTCGGGTTTTCAACACAACAACAGGGTAAAGCGTCGCGGAAACTCCCGAAAACAGTGCAGCGCCGAGGAGGAAGAACTTGGATTTGTCGAGCATTTCCCAATCAATATCCGCCGGGATGTGAACCTCTTGCGCCGATTCCTCCTCGGCCGCACCTAGATTCATCTTTGCCACTTTCAATAAACCCTCCTAAATATTCACAAGAATTTCACTCGCAAATCCCGATTAAAATCCCCTTATATATACACAAAGTCCTAACAATCTCTAACTGTACAAGCTCGATAACTCCAGAAAAACAACCAAAAATATGTACATATATCCAAAGAAACCAAAGTATAATATAAAGGTGACGACGTCAAGAAGGTATCAAAATGAAATTATTAAAGAAAGAAAACAAAGCTTTTAGTTTTTTGCTCGCGCAACCAGGTTTTTGGATCCAACCCGAACCATTACAGCAAACGGATCTAGCATTTCTCTGTAAAGCAACAGGATCTAACACTTGACACAGATCATTCTCGCCGCCGGCGACCGGGAAATATCGCCGGTAAGTTCGGATCTGACCGAAGAAACCTAGGCTTTAGCACCCTTGACGGACGTGTAAAGAGAGGTATATATAAACGAAGATAGATGCAGAGATACTTTTGCGAGAGAGAATTCTATTTACAGTTAAGAGAAGAGAGGCTAGGGTTTGGTTGGTTATGCAGTGTGCACATGGAGAAATTTAGGGATTTTTAGAGAGAGAAAAACGGGTGACCGTAATGGCAGGTTTGTTTTCAGGGAAAGAGGAGGAAACCGAGAGCGGAACCAGGAATGGTGCGACAAGGACACGTGGAGGTAACTGGGTAGTGGGATCCGGTACGGGTGCGATTGTCAGATAATATTCGGAGATTAAATAGTGGAAGGAAATGAACCGTCGATGGAGTATAGTTCAGGGGATAGTCCAACAATCGGACGGCGCAGATAGAAGGAGTACGAGCAAGTTGTCCGATGTGGGAGTTTAGGTGTAATCCATATCCCGGGTGGCGTGCAGCTGACGTGGCACCAGGTGGGTTGGGCACACGTTCCTATATTTGTTTTTTAATTGTTAATTTTTAATTTTTGGGTCATATATTCCAATCTGACCAATCAAACACTGAAACATACTCAAAACGGCACCGCTTAACTTGTATCTATAAAAAAAATGAAGAATATAAATAATTTATTGATTAAATAATCAAAATGAGGAGGGGAAGGAGAGTAGTAGAATTACAATGGGCCAAAGCACGAAATTGGAAAGTCGGCTACCGGTAATTATTAGTTATCTAAACGGTTCACTTCCATCACTATTTTATAATTATTTATTTGCTTAGTTAATTGATGAGTGGCAAGAATATAATTTTTCAGATTTAACAAAATAAAATGAATTAATTACGTAATTATTTTAAATATTATTCTTTTTTCAATAATTTCTAATTTAAAGTAAGACTTCTAAGTGGGATTTGAGTTTAAAATAAGTTCTGATAATCTATTAGAGAAAAAAAAAAAAAAGAAAAGAATGAATACTATAGAATTCTTAAGAATTTCTTCCAATATCATATACATAATTAACACATTTATCATAATTAGAAACTTCAATCTCGTATTAAGTTCACAATTATTAATATTATTATTACTATTAATATCGTCATTATCATCAACATCAATATCATTAATAGTATACATATATATTCTTTAATCATATTTTAGAATATACTCTAATAGGTGCCAACATTTTCTGAGGAGTCATCATACTCATACTATTGAGGAATAAGCAACGTACTTATAATCATACTTGCCTAATTCAAATTTCTGTATATTTAATTATTTGTTACGTAAATGACACATAATTCTAATTCGTACAAGTTTTAAATTTATTCTAAATAATTTATATTTTAAAATTTAGAAAAAAAATTATAATAGTTAATGAAATACTACCGAAACGATAAACTGATTAATTGTTATCAAACTGTTATTTACATATTTTTTAATATTTATGCTTATTTTTTTTTAAAATGTTATATTTCATGGAATAATATTCTAAATACAATGAACGCAAGGAAACATGTAAAATAATTAAATATTTGTAAATGTTTATAAATGGGTATGGAAATTTATATATAGGTGTGGAAATTTACACCTACTATAAAAATAAAATGGAGTAAATTCTTCTAAAATGGTAAAAAGTACATCCTAGATATATGACTTTAAACATAACTTAGATAATATATATATATATATATTTTAAATTAGTAAAATTAATAATGTGTACTGTATTAAATATTACTAACTACCTGCATAGTTAAGAAGGAAACGAGAAAATTAATCATTAATTATAGTTTTATTAGCCATGACTGACAACCATCTAGTTTATAATTGTGGGTGATAATACAGTAAACTAAAATGAGATGGTATACATGTAAAATGCTCATAACAATTTCTTCTTAACCTACTTTCATCATCATCATTAAAATCATCATTAGTTTACAGCTTGCCATTGTCATGATTAGCAGGTATAGTGTTGGATAACAGGAGGAGTGCATCAGAGGCTTCAAGCTCGTTAATCCTCTCTATCACATTCCCACGAACATTATTAGCCAAAGCTTTCAGATACACAAGTTCATCCATCTTGTTCACCTTACTTACAGATTTCATGAACTGGGTAGCCCCACTTTCTCTCAGAGATTTCTCCAGCATATCACCCCGCTTCTTCTCCGCCGCAATCTGTCTGTTCAGATCATTGAGTTGACGGTTCAGCTTCTCGATTCCGCCGTCGTTGGAGACGTCTGTAGTTGCAGAGGTATCGTTGTCGAGAAAGCGACGAGTGATGGTGTCGACGCTCGGGTGGCCGAAAGAGTAAGGTTTGCCGCCGGGGGAGAAAACGACGACGACAACCTCTGCACCGCACAAGGTGACGAGCTCGTTGGCCTTCTTGAAAAGGCCAGTACGGCGTTTGGAGAAGGTGACTTGCCTTGAGCTGCTGTCTTTCACTACCTTCATCTCGATCTTTCGGCGACCCATGATTCAGAGTTGGTATTGAAGTAGAGGAGTGGTGAATGAGTTTGTTGAAGCAGAAGGGTTTAATTTATAGAAGTGGGAGGTGGGTTGTGATTGGTTTCCAGAAATGGGTAGTTTCATTTTCATTGGTACGACCTCGGATTTCTGGTTTTTGGTTTTGGTTTCTGGTTTTCCCGATTAGGAAACCTCTTTATGAACCTTCTGCCTATGGATTCACTAGTTTTTCCTTCTCACA